TCCCTTTGTTGAGACCTACATGGTTCAAGAAGTAAAAGTACAACCAAGGCTTAAAAATGGGCCTGATGCCAAAGAAAATACATATTTGAATGGTGCTTCTGCAGAAGAAAACTACCCTTGGAATATAGATGGAGATTTAATGAAAGAAGCATCGGAAGTTCATGTTCGGTAAGGCTAAGTATTATATTTATGGACTGTCTACCTGTAACAGATTAGTACTGCAATCTTAAATGTATGACACCTGTATATAACACAGCTGACACCAAAATCGGGCATTGTAAACGCCGTAAGAATAGAAGTGTCGCACAGTCTGGCCTTTTTGCCACTGTTTGGGCCTTTGCCCTGTTGCCTCAAGCCCATCTTTGGAAAGCTTCGTTAGGACCCATGTGGTCTTTACTTTTTGGTGCTTTATCAGCTTCCAGCTCCACTTCTCTTATTTTCCTGCCTGCTACTTTACCCTTCTTTTTCTAAGAGAACAGATGAGTTTAAAGGTCTGTCACTTCTGGGAAGAGCTCTTTTTGCAGTAAGGATTCCTGCTTGGAAAGCAGCGTGTGTAAGGTTAATAAAAAAACATGTAGTTGTTTAACTGTGGGAAACCTAGTGCTGCTTGAGAATAGTCTCTGTATCCAGGATCTAAGAAAGAGACTATGAATACACAGGGAAATGGGAGGATTATCAGTGGAATTAATAGGCAGTGGTTTGTTCTTCTGCAGAGCACGTGGGATTAGTTGACGGCACAGAGCTCAGAGTGACAGTCTCATATGTAGGATATATGTATTTCTATAGATGATGTTATAGGAATTGTGACAAATGTAATTCATCTGATTTTGTTCCATAGAGCAGTTCATAGATATTTGTTCTCTCCCCCTCCAAACCCATGCAGTGGCAGACCACTGCAAGATTAATGAAAGGGATAAAGTTTTGACTTCCTCACTTCACAGGCTGCATCCGCAACTGATCCATCTCTATGGAGTGAACACTGATGACCTGGAGAGTTCGCAAGCAACGTGCAATTGCATATAGAAGGGACATGCCCCAAGTTCTGCATCAAGAATCCTTTTCTCACGTCTATGCACAGCTTTCAGGGTCTCAGTCTTTCACTCGCTGAATTCAGTTGTTGTAGCACAAGCTTAACTGAGATATCTGTAAAGTTTCTGGTTTAAAATTTTTATCAAGTTATATATTTTTATCAGGTTGTATTTAACTGTGAAGAAACTGTTACACTTGATAAGGAAAAAAAAAAGAAAACCGATTGTATTGGTCTTTTATACATTTGGAGTTTGAGAAGTGTCCATCAGAATAGAAGAAAGGATTTTTTTCAAAATTTTTCTATATTTTGCAATAATACAGTATGACGTACTTTTAAGTCTGCTGCTGCTATCCATGTTGCCAGGAACTCTGTTCAGATAGATGGTGAGTGGAGGTGTGAAACCACCTTTTGCTGCAGAATAGTGGTAAAATGTAGGTTTATTTACATATATTTTTAATCAAGTACTTCCATTTCTAGTTATAATTTCTAATATGAATAATATTTTTTTTAATAAATTTGCTTTCAAATTGTTTCTAGTTAATGAGTAATAAAAAAGAATATGCTGATGTCTTATAGGGCTTTTCTTTCTTGAAATGTATTTTAAAGACTACCCTTTGTACAATATAAATGTTTAAAAATATTTTATCTATCCTAGAACTGAAACTATATTCAGCATAGTTTTTGTTGTTGCTGAGAATAAAGTTATGATAAATAACTTAGAGTTGACTTATATTTTTATAGCTTCCTTATAGAAGAGCACAAACATAGTTTTTCATGAGTGGTTTTTTTTTTTTTTGTAACTTATAAAATGTTTAATACAGTTATTTGAGATGATAGCAAATTAACCTATACTCTTTCTGGCATCTGAGATGATGAAAAGTATCAGACCAACAAGTTTGTCCATCTGCTGGATCACACGGATAGTGAACGTTTTCCTTGTCAGTGGATCGTTCAGAAGGCATCTGACAAGTAACGGTATGAAAGCTGCATTCTCATGGCTAGAATGAATTGCTTTAAGTTCTTTCTTCAGTAAGCAGTCAAGTATTACACGAAATCCAGTCTTGAAGAATTTGTTAAATCAAGGGCTTTACATGGGAGCTATAGCTACTATATTTTATTTGATTTTAAATACTACTGGTGAAAAATTCTTACCTGTGATAACTAAGAAAGACAGAAGTGCTGCACCTAAAGTACTGTGAAAGATTACTTATCTCTCTTAAGAGACTTGTTGAAAAGCTGATGCAGTTTCTGCAGCCAAACCTGGCCAGTAATAAAGGCTGAATTCATAGGCAATCAAATGCCTGTTTCCTAGGCAATTAATTACAATAGGACTCTTAGAGCCCTTTGCACTGGACTTGGTGGCTGCAGAGAGGCTCAGTCACAGCATCCTCTGCGCTGGCCGCAGGAGGGTTCCAGCCCAGCCTCCTCCTTGGAGCGGCTCCAGCTCTGAGATCAGATCTGCTTGCTCAGAGCTTCGTCCACTCCAGCCTTGAACCCTCCAAGAATGGAGACGAGACCACCTCTCTGCACCCCAGTTCCACTGGCTGGCTGTCCTCAGGAGAAAAATGTTTTTCCTCAGGGCTGCTTGGAACCTCTGGTTACAGGTCACACCTCTTGTCTGAGTCACGGTGAGTAGTCTCCAGGTCAGCTACTGCAATGGCTACTACATCTCATCAAATATCTTCAACATGTTAAGACAATTCAAACTAAACTTCCTGAAGTTGGCTAAGGAGGAGATTCCAGCTACATTTTGTAGATTTAACTGGTTTTATTACATAATTGAAAAATAAACAAAATAACTGAACTCGCAGAAGAAACAGCATTCATGTGCTTAAGGTGTTGGGGTTCTTTTTAATAAAATGGAGTGATACTTTATAACCTTGCCACCATCAGGACACTGTACATCAATTTTTTGTCATCCTAGTTTATAAAAGCTAATTGAATGTTGCTTCATATCACATAAGAACAGGCAGCCAACATTTACATGTAATAACAAAATCTGAAGAGGAAGTGTACAATTTTCAAGGCAACATTATCACATGTACTGACTTACGTAAACTATTTCAAAGATAAATAAAATACTTTCAACTTCTTTGCATTGTCTGTACTAAACAGACAACTAAACTAAACTGTTAATGCTTCGTCCAGTATTTTGAGGTATATTTTTCACAATAGGCTGTAATATCAAAATAATTCCCGTTCAAAGATATTTTGCTTAAAGTGCAAACATTCACTAAAGCCATTTGGAAGATAAACATTTTGGGTATATTTTCATAGACTTGCAAGAAAACATTTAATTCTTCACATATTATTTTGAATTTTTTTTTTAAAAAAAGATGCACATTCATTTGTCCTTACACTGAGAAGATTTCAGAGAGAAAAACAACAACTTAGAATGTTCCGTATCTTTGGCATCAAATGAAGTAAAAGGAAATCACAAAATGGTCCCCTATACCTTCAGAATCTGTGGACAATGTGGTGTTTATGGCACCAAACACTCTATTAGCAAAAGTGCTTCTCGAAGGCACTCTGTACTGCTTTTGAGTTTCAGGCTAATTCCCGTATGATGGTGCAGCTTCAAAGCATACGTGTGTATCCCAGTCATTTCTCCTTGCAGTTCAGAAAGACATCAAAGGCACGGCAAGAAAGGCCCCATCTCATACTGCTGCGGCCACGAGTGCAGTTATTGAAGAAGTTGTACATTCTCCAGTTGTACTGGGGAGCAAAGCAACTTTTTTTTTTTTTTTCCCCCTGGATTGTACTATTTCACCAAAGCTAGGTGGCAGTGCAAACTTATCTAGCTGAAGAAACTTCCTGTAGTAGCAGAACAGTGGTTTGAACCATATTTCTATTCATTTATTTGCCTTTCCACCAAATGGCTTCTGAGGATGCCTGCCTGGGTGGTATTTATCTGACAACTTCACAAAAACCCAAGCTAGCTCCCCAAATTAGTTCCTTATTCAGTGCTTTCAGGTAAAGGTTGGCACATCTAAAGATAAAGGTTGGCCTGGTAAGGTTGGCATTTGGAGTCTTTGTTTTGTCATAATGTGAAGTCTGGTCTTTTTCAGGTCCTGGAAGAATGCCACTACTACAGTAAGTACTATAGAAAAAAAATCTTCAAATAAATAAAAATAAATACGTGCTTTAAAAAACCCCACATAGAAAGATTTCATTGGAGACATCCAAAACATCATGGCAGCAGTATCTGAGGAAAGTATGAAACAACTAATTCTGCCATGCTTGCAAGTACCATGTCAAAGATGGCGACAGATTATGATTTCTAATATATTAATCTTTTTGCAGCTGCGAGAGGATTCTCTAGGCTACCCCACAGAATTCCCTGCTCTGAATCCACCTCTGACCTTTCTGGTTCTGGCTGGTCTGGGCATCTAAGTCCCTGCAGTGTTGTGGCTGTGCCTGCAAAGCCAAAGCTTAGGAGGTTCCCTTCAGAAGCCCAGGAGAGCTTCTGATACCTGTTCCCCACATCCATGCCCTCTACTTACAGTCCTCCTACTGGTTTAAGTTAATCTATCTTTGTAAAACTGCCGAAGTTCATGAATGTCTAGTCAAGATTATCGAAACTTGAAAATCAACAGAATAACTCATGCTAATGTGTTTGGCATCTTATTTTCCAGGTTTGGCCAAATGTTTTTACTTTCTAGAAATTCTTCTTTTCGGTAAGTAATTCTTCTTATCTTTAGTGTTCTTTTGTCTGTTTGAAACCAGATATATCAATATGGCATTTCGAGTACTACTGTGAGACTTCAAAACAAACTGTTTTACGATTTTCATGTTAGAAAAACTACAGTACTCTAAGGTGTAGTCTCCCATACGTACAGTTCAAGGAAATAAAGTGTATTTTGTAAGAGCGAGTGAGCTCAGGATCAGTTTTCTTGTCACTGATGTTTCTCCTGTGAATTAACCTGAATCTGAAATCCTTCATTTTAAAATCAAATGTTTATTTGCCATCTTAGTCATCTTTGTTCCCTCTTGTGAAACTCCAGCTGTCTCTTCTGTTATTGTCTTGAGGGACGGGTTTGTATTGCCTTTTGAAAAAGCCAATCTGAAACACATAATTATGGAATCTGTTGTCAGCAAATCTTTTGTTATCAAATCTAAGCCATAAAAGATGAACTAAAGTAAAATGCACATAAATACAGTGTTTATGAAAAATGGTATTTGCCATTGCTTTGTCATAGCAGCTAATTAAGTGTTACTCAATCAAAAAAGTGGGTTTCCTTTTTGGTTTACTTTTTGGGTGGCTAATACCCACCCACAAGGAGTAAGGACATGTGGGCTTGTGAACTGCAACAGTCCACAGAATCCAGTTATTTTTTTAAAAATGCAAAATGGTAATAAAACATCCTGCCAAATTTGTTGAATTTCTACACTAGTAGAGAGAAAGTCTGCCTGTAGGTAAAGAAATTAACAATCTCTTAATCCCTTGTCAGAGAAGCTGCATCCTTCAGTTTTCTATTCTGCTTATGCACAAGATTTTTCTTAGTATTTATGTTGCAGTTTCAAAATCTTAAACATTTTATGCTCATTATGTATTTAATGTGTCAAGTGACCTTAAATGTGGAACACAAATATGATCCATTTGATGTCATTAAATTATTAAAATAATTTGTAAACATGAGATGCCATGTAAACATGGGAAGAGGTTTGTGGTGTCAAGTAATGGAAGATGTAGAACATGCAAAAGATAAAATGAAAGAAAATGGAGAAGTACATTGAATAAAACACAAGTTATAGGTGGAATTATGCTTCTTTAGGAAGGACAGATCATAATAAAATATTATTTACCTTTTAACCTGGATTAACAGATGCAAAGATTCACCAAAAATGTGAATTTCTGACTTGAGAACAACTGAGAAATACTGAAAACCTACCTTCCATAGCAAAAATGAAAGAAGCAAAAACAAGGTAACGCCAATTATTAAGCCGATTCCAATAATTAACACAGTAACATGGTATTTTGGCTTTTGGTGGTGCATTCCTTCCAAATAGACCTGGCAAACAGAAAATAAGTTTAGTGCTAACTGATTTCTGCCTTCCCAAAAGATACTAAAACAAAACTAGGAAAATGAATTCATTTCCTGTGTATAGATACGTATAGAATTCCACAGTATTAATTGTTGTTGGTTTTCCTGTTTTAACAAGTTTATCATAACTTCATGAAGAAAATTCTTACATATGCAACTTGCTTGTCCTTGTGTAGTTCAATAACTTTTGCATTTTTTTCTGGTGAGGCTGTTGCTCTTACTTCAAACTTTAATGCTGATGCATCATCCTGAGTAAAAAAAATTAAAAATAGGATCTTACCTTTTAGAAAATAACTTCAACACATTAATTCCTACCCAGCAAAATATGGTAACACAGCTGCTCACAGAAACAGAATCTCACACAAACACACAATGGTGCCTTTTTTCTGATCACAAAACAAACTGGAATGAAGCCCAGCTGGATTTTACTTAAGTCCACATCTATGCTGCTTTTCTTGGAAAAGTACTATTATGAGTTGAAATTAAATCCCAATCCTACCTAACCCAGCCAGAACAGGCAAAGCAATACATGTTGCAAAATAAAGCAATCATCTAAAATACATATTTTTCAGTGTTTTTTATTTTTCATATATCACCTTGAGACTTAGCACTGAAAATAAAAAGTAGGTTAGCATTTAAGAGATTTGGATTTAATCATGCTGTTTGCAAAAATATGTTAATACCTAGAATTTATATGCAGTGAATACCTCAAATATGCCTTCAAATATTCCCCGTAAGTATGAAAAATTCATGTTACCATTTCTAAAAGGGAAGGAGCAGCTTCCAGATGCAACTGAACAGTTGCTTCTTTTCCACTTTCCATGTTTCCAAGCTTGCAATATATTTGTAAGCAAAGGCTGTCATTTTTCATGCAGTACTGTAGAAGGGAGGGAACGATTAAAATTTATTAACTTTATCATCTTTAATACTAAAGACACTCAGGAGCCAAGTAAAACAAAAAGACCCATGTTTATTCTTGAAATAAACATGTGCAGACAATATAACTGACTGATCCTTATACTTGTACACTAACAGCTAGCAGCATTTCACTCAGCTTTGGAGAAGACAAAACAGCAAACCTGTACATGATTATATTCTTGATCCACGACTGCAGTGCCTTGATCATTGGTCAACGTTCCTTGTACCATGGTTACTTCAAAGTGCCAAATTAACATATTAAAAATTGTCCAGCTTATTTTCCGAGGCAAGTATTAAACGAAATTGTTCTTTATTAAACACAAGTTGAAGGACACAGACTTCTATGAGAACAAACCCTCAAACATGTAACACTGGAATAGCAATTCTGGTCTGAACTACATAGCCAAGGATCTGATCTCTTACAGAGGGATGAGCTGGAACAGGCCAGGCATGTACAATACTCTCCCAGCCTTCCAAATATATATAAGAATTTCCAGAATCAAAAATGATTTCCACATATTTAGTAATTTTTCCCATTTTAATTTTCATCTCATTAATTTGTATAGTCTCCCTTGGAATTCACTTACTTTTAGCATTCATAACATCCTTCAGTAAGAAGTTCCACCACGAGTAGTACTACTCTGTATTTCTTTGTTTTCTTTTTTAATATGGCTCCTGTTAGTTACATTTGATGGTGCTTTTTTGATGTGGAAAAGGCAGTGAATAGTTGATCTGGATACTTCATGTAATTAAAATTGACTGTTTTCCCACATGCATCATTCCAAATTTGTTACTGAATTTCATCTGCCATCCTGTTTTCCTACTCATTCAGTTACACAACCCCTACGATGACAGTTCCTCGTAGGTGACTGTCATCCACACCGACTTCAGTGCTGTGTCATTAATCAACTTTCTCATCTCACTTCTCATCTCTTTCTCTAAAGTCACTTATGACTATGCTGAACTTGTTGCATGTCCCACCACAAATCCTTGGATTACTTCTCTGGTGACTTCATTATACAAGATATACTACTGTCTTAACACTCCTTCATACAGTCATTTATTTCTCACTGATGGCAAAACACAGACCTTACCATTTGTCTCTTAGCAGGCTTTGAAAAGAAAGTGACAACATCCTTTAATATGTTTCCATTTTTTTCTGCTGCACTACAATTTCTAGGGTATTTATTGTAGAAGCACTGTCCAACTGTTGTCTGGAAATAAAAATATCATCATCACTGTTGATGTAAACATGACATAATAATCAGAATACAGACTTCTGAAAAGGAAGAAGCTCAAAAGGAATGTGAATTTTACTTTCAGAATTCTAAAACACATGGGGATGAAGATCATCCTATTCTCATTTGCTCTGCTTCACCATAGCTAACAAATTGGAACACATACTTAGTACATAGTTCCCCTATGCTCTGCTTTTTCACAGAATTCATATAGCTAATAAAATTATATTAAGTAACCTGTGCTTACCTTGATATCCAATGTGTTGAATAATTTGAAGTCATTGGGTGGAAAAGCATTAGGTATCATTATCTCTAGGTCTGTATTTGGAGCCATGCTTGGTCCTGCACTGATAACCTTGTGGGGAACAATGTTCTGCATTTAAAGCTTTATTCATGGTAGCTATTCAGGTAACAAATATATAT